TAAGCGACAAGGTTTTTATATTGGTTATACTGTCATTAGTATATCTACATTCTAATGGTACAATTTCCTAATGAATTGTAAGTTCACGACCCTGTATATCTGTGTACGATATCTGATTTGTTGGCCACATACTTTATTAACAGCCTGTATATTTTTTAATTTAGAGAGGCGTGTATCAGCGTGTATTTAATACAAAAACCCTATTTCATATACGATGTGGGCCTATTGTGTAGTTTTGACTCATACTGGTTTACATCTCGTAAACAATGGTTTATTAGCTCATCAGTTTACAGTTCTACTGATTGAAATTTTAATAATGTATCGAATTTCGTTTGCCACATGAAACACTGTTACATTTATATTTCTAAATACGAGTTAATTCACATACCTGAATCATTGTCTGCTGCAACTGCTCATTTCCGAAATTACACATTCCATCGTTGGCATACAATATAAATTCACCTATTCTGCAAAAAGTTGGGTAACAGAGTCGATGCATGAATCGGGTATAAGCAACGAATTCAGACTAGGTAAAATGATTCAGTCACGGATCAGTTTGTCAGCTAATTCTCATGGTATATAGTGAGGATCAATGTGCACTTGACAGACGAACAATTTCTTTACAGATATTAAATTCGTATATTCAGTGTTAATATTTAAAAGTGTGAAGTTTTGCAGATAATTGTAGTGTTAGATGATTTAAAGAAATGGTACTTATTACATAAGGAGCGACACAAGCCTAATAAAGGTAGAGTTGTTCACCGGCTAGTTTTATTATCATGTTGATACAACGCTGTCACCTTAGTCGGCATTGGTAGACAAATGAGTCAAAGGTATGCACTAAACAGAGTAATTCTGGCAATGCAATGTAAACTAATAGAACCCTCTAATCTATCGATTCCGTTGGATATAACGTTTCAGATATATCGAGATTATTGTATACTTCCATTAATCTATTTTCAGTTATCGGCAACTTCAAATTCTTGAATCTCCTTAAAAGTGTGTGGACCTTCTTGGATTATCTCAAATTTCTCTCTACCGATGAAATCGTAAGTCTACGAGAAAATAGTGTATTTGCGTAGATGCAAATTGCTTGAAATCTCCCTGGATCTTGAGTCTCTTCCTAGTGGAAGTAGAAACCTCCAAATATGTCCAGAACGAAAAGTAACTTCAGTAACCGGGACGTGAACTGCCACAACGACATTCTAGACCTATCTTCTTATTTTACTAACCCCAAACGAGGCCACAAATGTACGAGGCCCTTCCCACTTCAGTTGGCCCAACTATTGAAATCTTAGTTTTTTTCTTATCAAACATAAGTAATAAAAATGTAGCAGGGTGTTATAGGTTTAAAATATTATCAATGAATATTTTGATAATATATAGTAGAAAACACCAACTTTATCACTCCCTAATCAAATTTGCAGCATAAAAATAACACATGTTGCAATTACAGCATATCAACCTATTTTCATTTCAATGCAAAATAAGTCTATAACGCATAGGTGGCTGTGAAAAATAAAAGTTATGACAATAGTTTTTATTAATCACAACTGTCAGAATACGTTTAAAATAGTTTTGGGTAGTTAAGGTTTTCAAAATGGGTAGAGGAAAGGTTATTAGTGAGAAAATTCGGTTACTGATAATTAAATTTTTTAATTCTGGGAAATCAAACTCAGAAATTGCAACTTTGTTAGACTTATCGCGGTACAGTGTGAGAAATATTGTTAGAAGTTATAACGTAACTGGTTCAGTTAATATTAAACCACGATATGTGAAAAAAAGTAATATCACAAATGCCGACTGAAGAGCATTAAGAAGAATAATCGTGAAAAACAGACATGCCAATTATTTACTATTAGGTGCTCTGTGGAGTGACGCTGTTGGAAGGAGAATTTCGAGGTCCACAACTCATAGAGAGGCAGACAAAGTGGGATTTAGCACCTGCAAGGTAAGTTTTCTAAAAACAAAAAGGGAAGTAAAAACCCTAAAGTTGCACAACTTGTTTATAGGCCAAAGGAAAGCCACTATTAACTCCACTGCAAAAGAAAAATCGGCTTAGATAGGCTACAGAACATAGACAATGGACACCTCAACAATGGTGTGCAATACAATAGAGTGATGAGGCCCGATTCGAAGTTTGTGTTGGTGACAGTTGCAGTAGAGTTACTCGCAAAAAAATTAAGCATTCCATGTTGACTGTCTGAAGAGAAAAGTGAAATTTCCAGCGTCCATTATGGTCTGGGGCAGTATGTCATCAAAAGGAGTAGGAAAACTTCATTTTATTGATGGAAATGTGGATACAAACAAATATTTGGCAATTTTAGAAGAATCGCTTTTAATAATGATAGAAGAATGTTTGACATCCGGCCAAGATTTTGTGTTTCAGCAAGATGGTGCAGCGTGCCATACCTCAAAAAAGGCTATAAAATGGATGGAAGAAAATAATGTACCACTTTTGAACTTTGTGGCACGAGATGAAAAAGGTTCTACGACAACATCTTACTCGTACAATCACCGCACTGAGACATAAGCTTCAAGAAATATGGGATTGTTTTACTCCAAATTTTTGCCAAAACTTTGTTAACACTATGCCCCAAAGAATTTCAGCCGTAATAAAAATAAAGGTGTTGTCACCAATGGTAATCTTTCAGTTGTGTATCTAAAATGTTTTTGAGAAAATAAATTGTTTTAGAAGTAAATAGTTTCGTCGTGTTTAGTTTATAAAGGCATATTTTGGTACAAATTTTGAAGTGGGCCAACTGAAGTGGGAAGGGGCTCGTAGATGAAAAAGTTTTAAAACTTAAATTTATAGATTTAGACGTCATGAGAGCAAAGTGTCATCTTCGGTCATCAACACTTATCCTAAGACATACATTTGCTTTACATCGACCGATGTACCCATGAAGACTAGATATAGGAGGCTAAATGCATAAAGGAAGACACGTATTCGCATGAAGCTAATACTGTTGGTAATGTGGGTGTGGCTGTCTGAAAAGTGAAGCCTCTACGCCTGCATGAAAGAGAGAAGGGTGAAGACACAAGAGAGAAGCCACAAACGCAAAACCTGAAATACATTTATGACGCAATGACTCTATGAGTTTACCCTCCTCTATCTAGTCTTCATGGATGTACCGAGTGGTACAATAGTCCAATATCCCAGAGCTGCTAACTATATTTGGTTTCAAGACAAAATGATTTTAAAAAGCACTGAATAAATGCTACTCAGTGCCCCTCTTTCAGAAAATAAGTTACATTTGGCAAGTCTAAAATGTTACTCTGCAAAGCATGACGATTAAGGGATGTATGTTCGGCACAGACAAACCTAAATGTTGTTTAGTTTGCAGTAGTTGCAAATTATGCCACAAGCCATTTTCAAACAAGTCCATCATGCAGCAAATGTCGACGAACTAACGATGTACAGGAAATTATGGAGCCAATACATTAACATCAATTGGCATATTTTACTGTGATTTTGAGTAAACTGGTAATTAATAATAGTTAATTGAAACGGAAGCTGTTTACATCATATCCAGAATAAATAGAGGAATTATTGTTTATGATCGAGGTATGGGTTTCCAAATCCGCCATGCACTGGGATTATTTATCTTTTGGAATAACATATTTATTTCCGCCGCGGGTGTTTATCAACGTCATCGTCACCATTATTGCCCCAGGGCCGCAAAATAGCGAGCTTTGCGCGAATTTGCTTTGGGTGCACATTAAATAAAAAAGAATTTTGGGAATTGGTGGAATTAGTTATCTATATCGTGCATCGTTGTTGCCAGGGGGTCAGTACACAACACAGTACAACAAGGGATTGGCAAGTGAAGAATGACAAAAGTAAAAACAAGGGTAGATATCCCTCTTTACGCAGCTACCTCAGAAGGATGTGGACAAGAATAAATATATTTCATAGGCCAGAATCCAACAGGCTTGATGACCGGCCTTAACAGCACGATTTACACTAGATATAAAGTTTTCTAATAAATTGACCAATTTTAATCGAAACTGGTATTTTTAGTGAATTTTAACGCAATCTAGAATTATTGTCTCTAGCAGAATTTAAGACCAAACTTCGACTTTGAAAAGTCTATTTCACAGGTTACATACTTCTCAATAATATGGTTGCCAGGAAAGTTCAGGGGAAATTGGAAATTTTAATATCTCCGCGAGTTTGAATGTATTCCCCAAAAGCAACTTTTTTCCTTACCTGTATTTTTTACTCATCGTGCAATGAAGGTAGCTATATGATTTAGATCAGGGCTGTCCAACTTAATGTGGCCCAAGGGACACTTCAAAAAAAAAAATGCAGTTTGGAGGGCCGCATTATAAAATCTTTCTATACAACATTATTACTGAGTTTTAATAAGTATATACTATATACATTATTTTTATTTATTAAAAAAATATGAAATTACAAAAAAATCAGTCGGACATTTGAGGATGTTGGTTTTCTAATACTAATGCATCAATATTAACATTAATATTTGTTGTTGGTAAACAAAGTAACTGAGAAGTGACTTATCAGAGAGGGAATATCTATACTTTGACTTGACAAATTTCATGTTGGAAAAGCTGCTTTCGCAAAGATACGTGCTTCCCATCATTGATCCTATAGTAAGTCCTAAGTTTCGCAAGTTGGGGGATCGTTCTCCTGGCAGTAACTTAAAAAAGTCCAAGCGAGTTTCAGTTCTTCCTTGGTAAAAAGGATCTGATTGCAAATCACACAATTCCAGTTCAAGGTCTGCTCTGCTTACGTTCTCAACAGAAATTGTTAGTGGCTGAGTAAAAACTGAAATGTCGCTTTCAATTTTCTTAAAGTCACTAAATTGATTTTTGAATTGTTCTGTAATGTATTTCATATGAGGTAAATATGAAACTTCCTCAAAATCCTTCATTGCTTCGAAATGTTCTTTACAACTTGGAAAAAATGAAAAATCATTTTTAGTAATGAAGACTTGAAAAGCTTAATTTTATTCTTAAACCCATTTATGTGTTCAAATAAGTTGTAGCTTCAAATTCAATTCGTTAAAGTGAAATGTCATGTCTATTAAAAATGCAAGGTCTGCTAAAAATTGTGCATCTGCCATTTGATTTTCCAGTTCCGTAGTGTCGGACTTCACTTCATTTTTAAGGAAAATAGGAATTTCCTTGCGTAGAGCGAAAAATCGTTGCAAACATTTTCCGGCGCTTAACCAACGAACATCGGTGTTAAGTAACAAGTCCCCATATGTAGCATCGACTTCGGCCAAAAACTCACGAAGCTTTCTCTGAGTCAAAGCACGATTGCCCCCTCTACCAATATTAGTTATTTTAACAGCTACTTTCATGACATTTATTTGACGTAAAGATTTTCCACATAAACTCTCTTGGTGAACAATACAATGTACCATAGGACAGTTGATGCTGTTTTGTTTCAATAGTCCTGCAAATCCAATTGCAGTCCCTGTCATAGCTCCGGCGCCATCATTGACAATACAGGAACATTTATCAAATCCTCCGTAGTCTGACACCAACTTATTCACAGCTTCAAAAATATCTGTACCTTTGGTTGTACCATAGAGAGGAATAATGTCAAGCATCTCCTCTGCTACACTGAAGTCGTCTTGAATAGTTCGGATAAAAATTACAAGCTGGCTAATGTCAGACAGACCAGTGCTTTCATCCAGGCATAGCGAAAAATATTTACATTTTTCAACCATGTCACGCAATTTTTTGGATACATGTTCATCGATATGGTATTGCAATTGTTTAATGCGATACTGAGACTGTTTCAAATTTTTCGGCAACTTTTAATTCATTGAATTGTTTCGACACTTCTATTGCACACTTTTTGATAAGCACTCCATCACTAAAAGGTTTTTTTGCTTTGGCAATTTCCAGCGCTATCTTGTAAGAGGCGGCAATACTGCACTTGTTATCAGAGTCAGATTTTTTGAAAAAGCTTGTTTGTTGTTTTAGTTTTTTCTTGTATTCCGTTATGATAGCCTGCCTCGAGTCCCCTGAATATTGCCGAAACGTTTTCTCGCGTAACGTAGTGTAATGTCGTTTCATATTATATTCTTTAGGAACCGATAGTACTTGCATGCAAACAATGCACCGAAGTTTATTATTATTGTTTGAGATTAAATATTCTGATTCCCAACGGTCATTATAAACTCGATGTTCGTTCGTTATTTTTCGTTTATGTGAAGACATATTTCATGGAGTATTTCACTTAAAAAGGCTTTAGAGTTGCTGTGTACTGAAACGCACTAGCACTAGAGAACAAAACTGCCTGTCCCCCTTGATTCAACCTTCTTATATACGCGCCCGTGGCTTCTAGAATATTCGGGGTTGATCGAGAGATCGGTCCAATGTCCAGTAAATTCGCTGCGGCCTGCTATCGGTCCCCAGTGGCGTCACATGTTATTATATTTTATCGTTAATGTAAGAATTGTGCATATTCGGTATTTGAGAGTAACTTATACATGTGATGTATACATGACCCGTGAAGCGGGCCGCAAGAAAGGAGTTCGCAGGCCGCATGCGCCCCGCGGGCCGTATGTTGGACAGCCCTGATTTAGATTAAACAACATTTTCTGCAACTGATATGATTCGCATTTTTTGTATCATTGTGAGTTTTGGCAAAGGTTACTCTAATACAAATAGGAGAAATTCGTTTGCTGATCCAACAGTAAGGTGCTTCTTTCTGGGAGGTTTTAGGAAATTTCAGGCACTATTGCTTCTGTAATGTTTTTCGGTAATCGTCACTAGCATTTGCTTTGCTAATTTGTACCCTTGCCCGTGCCACTATACTGGTGAATTACACTCAAAAACAGTTTTTTACTGTTTTTCCTTTTTTCCTCTATACGATGAAAGTAGCTCCACGACTTAGGCAAGATGTCATTTTCTACAAATTTCATAGTAAGCATTTTATGTACGGTTGAGAGCTTTGGTGAAGTATGGGGGAATCTTGTGTTGATTCAACGATGTGGTAATTCTACGTGGAACGTTTTAGGAAGCTTTAATTAGTGTCCTGTTAATTCCTATTATTGTGACCGCACGGGTATTACGTATCTTTAAAAGTGGCATTATCTCAATTTTTTGACATTATATGGGTATTCTGTAATATTATGTAGGTTTTTCTACAAGATGATAACTTAGCCCTAGCTGATGGACACGTTGTGAACTCGTGTTGTCGTTGTACGCGTTGCCTAAACATCATCAGGCTACAATTATCAATGTTTGGCTCTGACATGATGTAAAATCTGCCACACAGATGCCATTACTGGTTGTAACGGCAATGCATAAGTGCATAGTGAGGATTTGTGTGCTAATAATATGTTTTGATGATAATTCCATTGGATTCTTGTCTCAAATACACTTACTTGAGTTTCACAGTTAGAAATTAGTAGCGCATTCACTTTTTCTTATCCTTTCTGTAAATTACATGTGCAATGGATTAATTTCAAAAATGAGAGAGATCAGAAATCACTGTACGCTGTCGAATGACAGTTTATACAGGGTGTCCCAGAAGTCGACGTCAAGCCCAAGCCGGGTGATAGGCAAAGTCATAACAGCTATCAGAAACATATTTAAAAAAAATTTATGTATGTGTTTTGAAAATTATAGGTCTTTGAAAAAGATATAGAAATTTCACACCCTACGGCAGTCCGTCAACCCCTGTTACTACAAATATTAACTTTCATTGGATTTTATTTTTACAATGTAATGATGAATAATGCATCTTCAAACTGGTGTCTCAACCTTACTGCCAACTTTTCTCGTTCAGAAAAAATTGCCACTTATTTCCCAACCAAGTATTCCAAAGTAAAACTTTGCTCAACTTTAACTGGCTGTACTGGAAAAAATGTACTACGAGAGTTTGGAAAGTAACCTTAAAAGTTGGCGCATTTAATAACGATTCCAAAATGGTATAACACTTAGAAGATTACTCGTTAACTTATGCACAATTTTTATTTGAAAAAAAACTGATGAAAATTTTTCAAAATTTCCTAATTAAACAGCGATTATGAAAATGCACAAGGACCCTTAAGGATAACTGTTTGCACAACAGTGGGCGTCAAAATGCTGCTGATGATGATTTACCTTCACAGCAAATGCTCAAACTGTTTTCCTTCAGCCGCAATACACGCTCGACATCTTCTTAAAAAAGATCGAGTTATTAAACGAGCGAATCCACGGTTAAACTCAGCTGCTTCCAGTAGTCTTTGCAGTAGCTCAGCTACATTTTGAATCGGCTTGAAAAACACTTTTTCTTTTACAGTTCCCCAGTAAAAAAATCTAAAGGATTCAAATCAGGTGATCGGGCGGGCCACGGTATTGTACCAGACCGCCTTATCCATCTGCCTGGAAAGTTTTGATCAAGATACTCTCTCACTGAGAGTGCGTAGTGCGCTGGGCAGCCATCATGCTGAAACCACATGTCCCTGTAAATACTCAGTAGCACGTCCACCAATAAATTTTGTACATGATTTTTCAAAAAACTTCAGCAGTCAAAGTCTCTGGGAACTCAAACGGGCCGATTATTTTACCATTTAAAATTCCTGTCCAATGGTTTATCTTGAAGCGATATTGAGATTTATCTTCTCTCATCAAATGTGGGTTTGCTACGTGCCCCTTGTGTAAGTTATACAGGTTCATGTACCCATCTTTATTAAATGTGGTCTCATCCGACCATAAAATTTTTTCAAAGAACTGTGGATCTTTCCTGTGTCTTTCTAACATTGTGCGACAAAAAGCAACTCGGGGCTCATAATCCCGGGGCAGGGGAGGTTGAACACGCTGTATGTGGTATGGATGAGAAAGATGGGTACATTAACCTGCATAACTTACACGAGTGGCACGTAGCAAACCTACATTTGATGAGAGAAGATAAATCTCAATATCGTTTCAAGATAAACCATTGGACAGGAATTTTAAATGGTAAAAGAATCGGTCCGTTTGAGTTCCCAGAGACTTTGACTGCTGAGGTTTATTTAGGTTATTTGCAAAATCATTCAGAAAATTTATTGGAGGACGTGCCACAGTATTTACAGGGACATGTGGTTTCAGCATGATGGCTGCCCAGCGCACTATGCACTCTCAGTGAGAGAGTATCTCGATCAAAACTTTCCAGGCAGATGGATAAGGCGGTCTGGTACAATACCGTGGCCAGCCCGATAACCTGATTTGAATCCTTTAGATTTTTTTACTGGGGAACTGTAAAACAAAAAGTGTATTTCAAGCCGATTCAAAATGTAGCTGAGCTACGGCAAAGACTATTGGAAGCAGCTGAGTTTGTTAATAACCGTCGATTCGCTCGTTTAATAACCCGATCTTTTTTAAGAAGATGTCGAGCGTGTATTGCGGCTGAAGGAAAACAGTTTGAGCATTTTGACGCCCACTGTTGTGCAAACAGTTATACTTAAGGGTCCTTGTGCGTTTTCATAATCGCTGTTTAATTAGGAAATTTTGAAAAATTTTCATCAGTTTCTCTTCAAATAAAAATTAACGAGTAATCTTCTAAGTGTTATACCATTTTGGAAGCCTTATTAAATGCGCCAATTTTTAAGGTTACTTGCCAAACTCTCGTAGTACATTTTTTTCCAGTACAGCCAGTTAAAGTTGAGCAAAGTTTTATTTTGGAATACTTGGTTGGGAAATAAGTGGCAATTTTTCCTGAACGAGAAAAGTTGGCAGTAAGGTTGAGACACCAGTATGAAGACGCATTATTCATCATTACATTGTAAAAATAAAATCCAAAAAAAGTTAATATTTGTAGTAACAGGAGTTGACAGACTGCCGTAGGGTGTGAAATTTCTATATTTTTTTCAAAGACCTATAATTTTCAAAACACATACATAAAATGTTTTTAAATATTTTTCTGATAGCTGTTATGACTTGGCCTATCACCCGGTTTCGACTTGACGTCGACTTCTGGGACACCCTGTATATATTTTAGCAGTAATTACACACAATGCGAGCGCGGTGGTGATTTCATTTGGAAACACAAAAGAAATCGTAAGAAATCGTAATTTATAACTTCGAACATAACCTGCCTTCGGAAAGGACAACGTAAAATAACCCGTCCGGCACAGCTAATATATTTACTTTATTGACAGCATATTCAGTAATTATTTTCTCACACAGCAAGTATCACTGATTTTACACACATGCAAATCAATACAACCAATACTCAATCATCCAGATGCTATCTTGGTACTGAAGCAGTTCTTACCCTACAGACTGTGTCGGCACTCTGCAACCAACAAAGCGTGCTGGGTCATTGAGCGTCTCGTTTATTTATTCCTCCTTAGATGACGCTCACAGCGCTAATACCGAGCAAACGGCAGATGAGCTATTTGCTAGGACCTATCTATTCAACAAGTTGACATTTCATTGATTTTTTTTAGGTTTTTTATGTAATAACTCTGCCGCACGAGTATCAACCAACTTTCTTGTCAGAGATAAAAGCTGTAGACTACTCGGCTTCACAAAACATACGCAACCAACAATGCGTGTAGTTCTCCATAGATGGACGCTCACAACGACTCTAGTGAGCAAACGTGGAATGACTGTTTGCACCCTAAAAACTACCTAGTAGTTTTTTTGACGTTTTATAGGTTTTTTACATAATGCCCAAAATCTATGTTTTGCTATCCTCGCTGTTACTCAGCTTTATGATCTAGACACGACTACATTTTCTACAATTTACATGATAAACATTTTTTTACTATTGACAGTTTCCGCAAAGTTAAAACTAATACGAACGTTTTAGGAAGCTTTCGTCACCACTGCCTTTGGAATGTTTCGCGGTAGTCCCTGCAAATGTTCACTTTGCTAATTTGTATTCATGTTGCCCGTGTGGTCATATTGGAAAACGGGTGGGAAAATGTAATGGAATATTTGCCGGCTCGCTTGCCGAAACAGTCCAACTCACAAAAAAAGATACGAGTATGATGTCCCCGTTGAAACTGTCATAGACTACCCATGCATTTGTATTAGAGTAAACGGTGTTGCACTCTTTCGCTATCCACTCCACAAAAATGTTAGGTACATAAAATTTAGGGAATAGTATTTGCTTTGTTTTTACCGTACAAGGCGCTGGAGCAAAGATATTGTAAGTACTGTTTTAGATTGAAAAGTTTCCAATACCACCACCAAGTGAATGAAAATTATAATAATAATAAGTTTTAAAGTGAAATTCGCAGATATCGAAATCTTTTAGTTACCAACTTCACCAAACCTTTCCAGGTAGAACTAAGGAATCATTAGCCTAATTAATTTATGTTATACTTTCTGAACTATTCAAAAAGACCAAACATCGACAAAATAAACAAACAAATGAACTTCTCCTAACACGTAAAATAAAGTACTCAAATTATAAGAAACTTTATCTACTTTTACCAGTATTTCGAAGCGAGAAGAGAGTATAATAAGCAGCAAAGTAAAAATTCCTCTTCAAATTGACAAAACATCATTAGAAAACAACCAAACATAATGATCGGAGGCTAACAAGAAAAGCTCTAATCACAAATTGCTCTGCTGACCATTAGCTGAAAACTTACTGTTGAAGGAAAATGGTATTTCTCATAATACAGAAAACCGAAGTAAAACTCATTATTTTCCATCGGAAAAGCAATTAGTAAAGTTTCTAAAAGACATATTCCTATTCCAGGTCGGATTTTCTGAAAGTCCGTGGCTTTGATGAGGACATTGTGGGCTGGGGAGGCGAAGACGTGATGCTGTACAGAAAATATGTGAGGAGCAACATGAAGGTCATTCGGGCCACGGATCCTGGAATCTTCCATATATGGCACCCTAAGGTGAGATCTGTTATTATCTTTGTAATAGAAGAATTGCGAGTTACAGATATTTTTAGAAGCCTCTACCTTCAAATTAGAGCAAAATTAAGTAAACAAAAAATATAAGTTCAATGAAACATAGGATATTTTGGTTATAAGGTACGGAGTCCTAGCTAATCGTTGATAGTTAAAAGAGCAAAGCGCACACAATTCTGGTAATACATAGCACTTTGTGCTGTCTTATATCTTGTACAGAGGATAGATGTTCAGCTTCCATTCGTTGTCAAAGCTGAACAATCTAGTCATTGAGAAAAAAAAACAAGTAATTATACTAAGTGACATATAAATCCGAACACCCAGTTTAAATGGTTTTATTTTTATAAAAGTTGGTGAATGTATTTATCTTATTGTAAATAACAAGTGAAAAAATTTTCAGCCTTATCAGTTGGACATTCCGGTTTTTATACTGCTTTTTTTTAATTCACTAACGCTCTAAAAATGAATATTTCAGCCGTAGTAAAGAATCAACGCTGGCGGATTTTGGTTCTTGACATCCTTTACGATCGGTTAGGATGCCTAGAGTACGGAGACCTGTACGATTTTGTCAACTTAGTGAGTTTGATAGGGGCCGTACAGTGGGACTTCGGGAAGCTGGACTTTCTTTTCGGGCAATTGCAGTTAGAGTGCAAAGAAGTGTAGACACTGTGGTTAGGTGTTGTTAGACATGTCTTCGAGAAGGCCGTACGCAAAGAGCAAGGGGCACTGGACGCCGCCGTAGAACAACAGACCGTGAAGATCGCCGCTTAAGATTATTGGCCTTAAGGGACCGTTTCTCCACTACCAGGTCCATTGCAAATGAACGGTTTGCAGAACACGGAAGACCAATTGGCATGCGAAGTATTTACCGACAAATGAGCAGTTTTGGCTTGTTTTGTTTTTGAGTGGTGCAGACAACGGTCACTCTGGGATCAGGAATGGAACAGTATTATCTTTAGTGACGAGTCTCGATTTTGTTTAGGCATGCACGATGGTCGTGCCAGGGTTAGAAGGCGACGTGGTGAAAGGAGGAATCCACAGTTTTTTGTTGAAAGACATGTTCATCACACTGTTGGAGTTATGGTTTGGGGTTCTATAGCTTATGGTCCCAGGTCACCTTTAACCTTCATCAGAGGTAACATGAACGCGCAGCGTTATATCCACGAAGTTTTAGAACCCCATCTTTTACCCTATCTTGACACCCTGGCAGATCCAACTTTCCAACAAGATAATGCCCGGTCACATGTTGCAAGAGTCACAATAGACTTCTTTCAACATAATGATGTCACATTGTTACCATGGCCACCAAGATCTCCCGACTTATCCCCAATTGAGCACGTGTGGGATATGATGGGTAGGAGATTGCTCAATTTGCAACGTCCTCCTCAGACTCTAGAAGCACTTCGAGAGGAGTTGGTGGTTGCCTGGAATGAGATACCACAGGAGGACATTGACCACCTGATCAGAAGCATGCCTAGGCGCGTTGGAGAATGCGTAGCACATCAGGGTGCATCCACACATTATTAAAGGTCAAAGGGCTTTAAAGCAGTGCAATCATTTTGAAATTTTTATCATTTACTTATTATGCTTCATTAAGTACTTATACAAAATTTTATTAAATTTTAACCGTTTAAACTGGGTATTCGGATTTATATGTCACTTAGTATATTTAGTGGTGTACTTGGACAGAAAATTAACCTCAAAAGCATCTGCTACAGCTGAGAAAAAAGTATGTGGCGGAGAGAAATTATATCTATCCACGCATAGATATTTTCTCGCCACTAAGTCAGGAATTAAGATTTGCAATTTCATAAAGCATACGTAAGCACTAAACAGCTTTACGCTGCACCTGCTTGAAGTTGTATGTCAAAATTCATTTACAAAACAGATGTGTAGCAGAAACATTTTGTTTGAGACATATAATGGATGAAAGAAGTTATAAAATTAGTAACAAAGATTAACATGATATTGGGAAGCTAACACCTCTAAGTCAAGGTATACTTTCATAACTTATCCGACAAATTTTAACCACATATGCGAAACGAAAGAAGTTGATTTCTTAAAAAAGCATGTAAAAAAAGTCCTACAGAAATCTAGATAATAAAATAATACAGTTTAACGGTTCACTTGCTTGAAAAAGGCACTAATTCCTGCTGTGCTTGAAGGCTCATATTATCGGCAACTGTGATTCGGTCACGCAATTCTTTAATATTCAGAACTGGAGTACGGTATACCTCGTTTTGCAAGTATCCCCGTGAAAAGATGTCCAGAGGATTTAGATCGGAAGATCGTGGAGGCCATGCAACTGGTCCACCCTTTCCGATCCAGCGTATATCCAAAATTTCGCCTTCTGCATTTAAAACGCGTTGCAGGGCGAACCCGACCCCCATCCACTCCACGTTTGGGGTGCAAATCTCCACAAGCATGTGCACGTAAAACAGTTGAACTAAATGTTTCGTGATGTGGTATGTGCCTATTCGGAAATCGGTGTGCATACAAACAAGAAGCCGCTGGCGAACTTTGCCCTGCTCCTCCGCACGCTAAAATAATGTCCACTAACCTAAACCTTATTTACACGTTCTTATCAGCATGGAAAAACAAAAAAAATTGTGGTATTTTGTTTCCGTCAGTTGCTTGGTACAACATTTACTCCAATAAACTATTAATGCGTGTTCTAATATCACGACGATAAACGCAAAATACAGATATTTATTTTTCAATTTATTATTGAAACTCAGGTTTACAACTTAATTTCTGTAGGACTTTTACTACATTTTTTTGATAAATCAACTTCTTTCGTAAAACTGCATAGGTGGTTAAAAGGTGTCGGATAAGTTGTGAAACACCCTGTATATAAGAAAACTGAATAGTATTTAGGGGAAAGGTGCTACAGATGCAGCTCATCGAAAATATTGTACAATTATACATTGACACAGCACCTTTCAGAATAAAACATAATCTGATAAATATGCATATGAAATGTGTAAGGCTTTCGCGGCCATCATCCAATGTTATTTGCTTGGTTTTTGGGTAGTGAGGCCGTCGTAAAATATTTTTACTTGACGTTTTGCCAACACGAGTGGTCGCCATCTTCAGAAGGTGTTCACAGTCCGGAGCCCTGTGAGCTAGTGAAGAATTGTGAACACCTTCTGAAGATGTCAACCACTCGTGTTGGCAAAACTTCAAGTGAAAATATCTTACGACGGCCTAACTACATTGTATATGCTTAGTAGATGTCACAAATTCCCGTAAAGAACTCGAACATTCTGTATCAAAAACCAAAAGTCAGGCGACGATATACAGGGTGTCCTGAAAAAAGTGTGCAATATTCTACCAGCGGTTTCTAGAGCTTAAAATAGGAAGAAAAGTTTATATAACCATAGGACCACAAACATCCCCTAAGGGCGCTACGGTCTTTTAAAGGGGCTCCCCTGAAGATGGTTTTTCCTTAATATTTCCGAAACGTGTTCAGATAAAGACATAAAATTGGGTACTCGAGCCTAGTTTTTTATGCTGGATTCAAAAATATTAACAATTTTAGACATTTTTGTTTGGAAGCGTATGTAACAGGGACGGACGTTTTAGCCCCAAAATTTTTGTGTGATTCTATTTTTGAAATTCAGTTTTATAATTTGAAAATCTAGGGTTTTATACATAAAAAAGATACTCTTGTTGAATATCGATAAATTGTGCTATTTTTGAATAAAATCAAACTAAAAAAAATTGTCACATGATAGGAAATGTACTGCGAATTTAAATGAATGCTTGAATAATTATCCATGGCAACGAAAAAACTAATTTAACAATTGGTAAATATTACATAAATACGTATTTCTATTGCAACATAGCTAACATTTAGGCAAAAACACAAGAAATAACTACGAACGAAACTGAAATTTGTTTAAAAAAGAAGACATACAGTTGGATATACTTAAAACTAGCTTTACAATAAGTGTTCAAATAAATTCCCATTTTGTTGGATACAAAGTCTCGCTCGACGAACTAATGATTGCGTAGCCCGAAAAGTGCTAAACCTTTTTCTTCTTATTTCATTTGCAGCCTGATGGATTCTTTGAAATAAATCTTCTTGAGTATTCACCTCAGGACCTCCTCGGCCTAACCACCTGTCTGGAAAATTGGCATTCAACCAATTTCGAACATTGCTTCCAAAATGTGCAGGGGCACCATCATGTTGAAAAAACATATTTTCTTGAAACTGCTGGCGAACATCCAATGGTATTATATCCATGAGCTCATTCAGAAGAAAGTTCAGATACACCTCTGAATTAAGACGATTGGGAAGAACAATAGGCCAAATTACTTGATCCCCAATTACTCCTGCCCATAAGTTCAATGAAAATCTATGTTGGAAATTTGTACGGCGAACAACTTTTGGATTTTCATCTGACCAGTGATGCATGTTATGGAAATTAAACGCACCATTCCTAGTAAATATTCACTCATCCGACCATAAAATTCTAAGAATAGTGTCTTCATTTGCTAATATCCACTGGCAAAACTCGATTCGTGGTAAAAATCTGCCTCCGTTAAATACTGCACCCGTTTAAAATGATAGCGATGTAATCCTTGCATTCTTGTCATTCTTCCTATCTAAAATTATTATTTTTAGGATAATTATCAAATAGGTATTCATAAATTTTTTATACTATTGATCGAGGTATATCCATAATTTCTGAAACATTTCGTATGCTTATTTGCGGATTATTTTCAAACATATTTAAAGCAATATCCATACGATGATTTCCCAGTGGCCTTCCTGAGCCCTGCATGCGGTGAAAACTTCCATGGTTAGACAAATTCCGGTGAATATCAGTAAACATTCGACGTCCAGGTACTATGCGATTGGGAAATCTTCTTTGATACTCTCTTACGGCTGCCAATGAACTGCCATTGCAAAACCCGTACACAAAATGCATGTCAGTCAGTTCTCTGTCTGTCAATCTTGGCATTTTAAATCGATTTAA